ACATACATTATACTTACGAAATTGTAGTAAAATTATAAAAGAATTTATTCTGTTGTTTATATATATATATATATTATTTAACTATTGTATGAAAGTTGAATAATATTGTATAAAAATTATATCTAAGTTGTATGATATTGTAGTTGTATATAACTGAGTAGAAATAATGTATGAAAATTGTAGATAAGTTGTATAAAATTTATTTTTACTATGTATAAATCAGATACAAAATATACAAACGACATATTGTATAAATTTGTATAATATTTGTATTTAAGTTGTACGTTATTGTAGTTTTATTTAATTGGGTAGAAATAATGTATGAAAATTGTAGATAAGTTGTATAATATATAATTAGTTGTATGAATTTTATTTTTACTATGTATAAATCAGATACAAAATATACAAAAGACGTATTGCATAAAACTTGTATTTAAGTTGTATGATATTGTAGTTGTATTTAACTGTGTAGAAATAATGTATAAAAATTGTAGATAAATTATAGATTAGTTCGTTTGAATCCTAACAATATGCTCAGCTTGTAAGCAAACAAAATAGTATATACTCTTTAATTTTAGATTTTGTATATACATATTTTTCCTCTAATCCCAAATTCAATGTCAATCGTTTTGTTCAAAATTTATCCCGTGGAGGAAAGTCTTTCGAATAATGGACCCATATCAAAATTTTGTTAACAGTGATGGAATTGATTTTTGTTTAAGTTTAGGAAATTCCCAAGTCCTTTTCTTTAGCAAAGGTACAAAAGCAGGTACGTTAGTGACATAAAAAAGAGGGCACTAATAGTAAATAATATGCTACTATTCGTTAAATTTACATCAATTAATTATAGTGATAGGAAACCAAAACAAGATATTCAATACGATAAACTGTCAAAATAGAAATTAGGGCAAAATTTAGAGATGCTTGTAGAAGAAAATAAAGTAACACAAAAAAAAAAGCAATGTTTTAAAGAAAAGACGAGTTAGCGGTGAGGATGAAAGCACATGTTGGCTAGGAGAAAAAAAAGGAAAAGAGTGTAACTAAATCCCTTAATTTAAGGCACAAATAATGAATTAGGGCCTTTTAAGGTGGATTATATATATTTTGTAAATAAAATTTATTTATGCCGGGTAATTAACTAAACATGAACATTAAAGATAATAAAGATTCAAATAATGTATATGAATAAAAAAATCTCTAAAGATCAATCTCTTATGGTTGGTGTTGGGCTTTAGATATCCTCCTGAGTATCCACCATCTACTGGGCTGGACCATGTGAAACCCCATTTTATTGGATCCTCTTAATATAATTGGCCCAAGAGAAACTATGCAATAAAAGTAGGAAAAATACCTATGTCCATTTATAAATAGTTTATTATTAAAATTTGTTAATTCATAAAATATTATTAATATTTGTCACATATTATTAATATTAGCCAATTAGCTATTTGTAGCAAAAAAATATCAAATTTTTGCTTTTCTTGAGTGAGTGTTATTAGAATAGATTGTGTATATCTTAAGCAGCTTAAATCTAAGTTTTGAGATGATTTGGTGAAGTTTTGAGGTGGTTTGAATTAAAAATTCGAACTAGAAGATGAACATGACAAAAAATGATATGTGTATCACACTGTGTATCACTTGTATCACATATGTATCATAATTATATCAAATGTGTATCACATGTATATACATGTATATCTGTGTGAAAGATACAAACGTGATACATGTTTGATACATGTGTCGCAGAAGAATTTTTTGAACTCGATTTTAACTACGAATTTGATTCCAAATCAGTCTAAATCACCTCCAATCTTCCTCAAATTTTGCATATTGACTCATCTATATATTTTCGATGAATCTCAACCATACCCATTGAAAAAGGTCTTTTTTCGCTTAGATTTTTGGAATCTCGTATATATATATATATATATATATTGAATAAAAAATAAAAAAATAAATCCGATCCAACGAGTATATATAATAGAGCCCAAGAAAAAGGAAGGAAACCAAAAATCTTTTTATTTGAGATACCATTTTACTCAAATGAGTAAATTTCACTTAACCTTCTTTATCTTTCGAATTTCACATTCATCTTCCCAGGAAATGGAAAACTCTTTTGAGTTAACAATTTTGATTGATTTTTCGAAATTATGAAATATTCAAAAAATATGTGTATGTGATGTTTGGCTAAAATTTCATATTTTTGCATGTAATTTGCCTTGCATTATGCCTCGATTTCGTTAATTTTGGTGTGAATATTTCTGACTCAAGCTTAATAATGTTATTTATATGTGTATGAGTAAATTAGAAGTGATTTGGGGAGTTTGCATGCAAATTGACGTCAAAAAAGGAAGAATTTGGAAGAAGTATAAGTTTGGTGTCCAGGTTGGTGCCAGACACCAACAAAAATGCCAAAGACAGAAGACCAAAAAGTTTGTTGTCCTGGTTGGTGCTAGGCGCCAAGCGAGACGCCAAAGGGCAGATTTTGTCCTAATTCCTCTGGGACTTGGGGATTTCAACCCTAAATGTCCCAACATGTATAAAAGGGGTTCTAAACCTATTTTTTGAGGAGTGGGACATATTTTGGACGAAGAAGGGGACATACTTTGGAGCAAGGGATAGCACGGAGCCGCCGTGGAGGCCAGAATTCATCAGATTCCATCTTTCTTCCATCAAACTTAGTAATCTTTACGTTTTTTCATTGATTTGTTGTTTTGCTACCATGTCTATGTGGAGCTAAACTTCGCATTCTAGGG